GGGGGGGAATAAAACTCATAATATCTGGACATAAATGTTGTTAGAGAAGAAGGCATTAAAAATGTTAATTTTAAAGAAACTGCATCTAAGGAAAATAGGAAATTACTGGTTGTTGATGTAGGGGGAAAGGTAGGGGTTGGAGAAACTAGTGAATTCCCAACTGAGGAGATTGCAAGAGCTGCTCAAACCTTGAAGAACCCTCAGTTATAAGATTCTCAACTGGTAGAGGTAAATATTTTCCCTGCTGCTAATAAGGATAAATTCCTAATAGGAAAAAAAAGGTTCTCATTAAAAAACCTCTTAGTTTAGCTGAGCCTAAGTATGGGGACATGTCCATATATTCTGATATCATGGACTCCCAGTATATAGACCACAGTAATTGTTGATAAACGGATTTGATCAACTAATTTAATATTAAATCTCGGAGATTAAGATGGGATTGGGGTTGTTTTATTGATGAAATATGTAATCCTTGCTAACTGACACAAGTCGGTATTTTTGCTACAAGTCGTTTTTTTGCGTTACAAGTGATCTATAGCACGCTCGAACCGAGGTGATTAATATAGAATTTAATGTGTCGGAAAAAGATCCTCGTATCGAGTTTAATGCTGCTATTTATAGTAACTTTGGGCTCGTATTTTTATGAGATACGACGGCATTTAATGCGGTGTGACAGAGTAGGTCAGGCTTTCTCTGTGAGCGGGTCCCACATCAATGATGTTCTCACGTGGTTTGAGACATGCATTAAATGCAGTCTGTCGGCACCGACGTCAGCCTTTAGGGACGTCGTTCCCATTTAAGTCGGCTTTAATGGGGAAGTCGGCATCTGGAGGGAGGTCGGTTTCTCTAGCTCGGGGAACTCTCCCTTTCCTATTTTTGACGCGACTTATGGCTCTCTCCACGGTCCACGTGACGTTCATCCTACGTGCGAGATGATTCTTATGTTAACATTAAGGCCCCTGACTTTGAGGGGGACATGTACAATGGTCCGCCTTAATGTCATTTTTTCCTCCTCACCAATATCTCCTGCTAAGTGGCCTGAACCGACTTCCCATCCTTAATCGAAAATCCTCCCAGCTTTTGTACGAAACTCATATTTCTCTTGATCTGGCGCGTGGTATCGCTGAACGGCGCGCCCGTCTCTTTCAGTTCTAGGCGGTTACATCCTTCCACTACACGTTCCCACGATCCCTGACGGCATCCTTACGTGGCAAGTCCCCATTAATCCACGTGTAATTACGGGAGCAACGTGAAGCGTCCTCATCTTAAATTGTGACGGTTCACGGGCGTCAGTTTCTTCCTAACGGTCATATTGTCCTCATATAAATACTCCATTTTCCTCAATCCTCAGGGATACACATCCTTTTCATTTAACCTCTCACTTCATTCCCTTCACTTCTCTCGCCCTTTGCTTTTCCGTTGTTCTAACTTCTGACGTCCTACCTTTGAGCAACCCAACTGTTCCTTTGTGGTGAGTTCCTCTGTCTATTCCTATTTTTTGTTTCATGTATATTTTCCTTACTTTATCGAGATTCTGCCAACGCCCGAAGAATGACGGAACAAACGGTGGAGAGCAGCAGCAGGACAGTTTCCGACGAGGTGGTTCGCGAACTTGTCTCAGACGAGGAGGTTGACATGGAGTTGGCGCTGGGTTACTTTTGCTTGGCCGAACGTTTAGTCTTACGGAGGAATAACCACGAAGGCGACGCTGAGGTTGAAAAAGACCTCCTCATTCGAGAGGGTTATTGGAATCGTCCTCCCCGTCGTTGGGCTGACGACGACGCAATGTTTCCCGGTGAGCCCAGCACGATGATTGATGCCGACGTGGTTTTATTGAGGAAGTCGGCTCGAATTCCTCCCACGGTGAAGATGTTTGCCCCATATCCTGGGGAGAGGATTCATTCTCCTTCTCCCGGCTGCGTGGGAGTGTTCGCTCAGAGCATCAGGTCGGAACTGAGGTTGTCCCTCCCCAACATGATTACCAACTACCTTCGGGATTGGGGAATAGGTATAAGCCAGATCACGCCGAACAGTTGGAATAAAATCTTCGGCCTTCTGGTTCTCAGCGTACAGAAAGGGTTGCCGTTCCCCTCTATAGACGAGTTCCGTAGTGTCTTTTTTTTTTAAGCGGAGCTGAGAACGGGACGACGTCCCACCCACCGGTTGCTTTTTCTGCTCTGCCAAAGCGCAAGGCAAACTGAAAGTCGGCCAGTTGGTCACTAGGATTCCCGACACTTTACATGACTTCTAGGAAGAATGGTTCTGGGTCGGAGGCGATTGGGAGTCGGCCGACTTTCTTTTGGAGTCGAAAATTTACGGGATGACCGTCCCAAACCGATCTGTTTCTACTTACAACAAGTTTACCCTTTTTTTACCCATCTCGCCACCTCCTGACTGTTGGTCTTTTCTTTCTCTAACAGATAGAAACTTTTGGTCTTTGTAGTCCGAAGACAGAAAGAGCCCAAACTTACAGCCGAATTCAAGGAAAGACTCAAGGATCTCGTGAAGGTCGCCCCCTCTGATCGTAATTGGCACAAGTTGTTGAAAGAAACGGAATTGGCGAAAGCGGAACTCTCAGTGTCTCGTCCATTTAAAACGATCATCCCTGGTAAGTTAGAGATTTTTTTTATGCACATTTTGACGCGACTCCCCCTGCATGTTTTTATGATTGTCCTTGGTGTGAATTTTTCAGTTTACTATCTTATCCTCGGTTTCTTCGGTTTCAAGTCAATCGAGGACGCTTAAAACTTCGTATGCAAAGTTCCCAATACCGATGTTCATCTCAAGT